TTAAAAACCTGTGTACCTCTTTGAACATTACTCAGATTGTAGATAGTCCTACTCGCCCAAACATTAAGTCCCCAAATAAATCCTCCTTAATTGATCTCATTTTAACAAATGTGCCACATAAATACTCATCTGTGGGAGTATTTACTAATGATGTGAGTGACCACTGTGTTGTAGCCACAATTAGGGACACTAAGATCCAAAAAGTGAAACCACGCATTATCACAAGGAGAGATAAAAAACACTTTGTGGAGCAGGGTTTTTTACACGATCTGTTTGATTTTGATTGGGGTAAGATCAATCTGTGTGCGGATGTAGAAACTGCATGGTCTTATTTTTATCTTGGTTTTATGGAAATTATAGATAAACATGCACCTCTGCGTAAATTCAGAGTGAAGGGTCGAGACAATCCCTGGTTTTCCGCTGAACTGTCCAGTCTCCTTCATGAGAGAAACAATGCCTGGGCTAAGGCTAGGAAATCAGGCTCAGAGGTAGAATGGCTACGCTTTAGGCAGCTAAGAAATAGCTTCACATCACAAATAAAAAGTGCTAAATCAAAATTCTATTTGTCAGTTACCACAGAAAACCTGAATAATCCTAGGAAATTTTGGAAAGCCATAAAATCGATTTCCACTGGTGATATTCCAAATGAGCTACCTCCATGCCTTACCACAGAATCTGGCATTATATCAGACAGGGCTACTATGCTCAATTGTTTTAATAAGCATTTTGTGTCTTGTGGCTCGCTGTTTGATTCTGTCACTGACTGTGCTTCTGCTTCTGTGAACGCTCCAATCCTTGAACAATGTGGTCTGGAAAACCCTTTCAGTTTTACCCCTTTTACTGTTGGTGTTGTCCATGATGTTTTATCCAAGTTAGATCCTAGGAAACCGGCTGGCCCGGACAACCTAGAACCTTTCTTTTTAAAGATAGCTGTAGATTTTATTGCTCCACCGCTTACTTCTCTTTTTAACCTCTCCCTCAGCACAAATACAATTCCTAAAGTATGGAAGTCTGCTTATGTCTTGCCTTTACTGAAAGGAGGGGAGGCAACTATTTTAAATAACTATAGGCCAATCTCGAAATTGTCAGTTCTGGCTAAAGTGCTTGAACGACTAGTGAGTGAGCAAGTAAAGGACTTTTTATGTATAAATGATATCCTGTCGAAACATCAGTCGGGCTTCAGGAAAAAACATAGCACCATCACTGCCACAATGAAAGTTGTAAATGACATCACTAGTTTTTTAGATAATAAGCAGAGTTGTGCAGCTCTGTTTATTGATCTCTCTAAAGCGTTTGACACCGTTGATCATCGCATTTTAAAACAGAGGCTACTCAGCATTGGCTTGTCCAGCCTTGCAGTGGGGTGGTTTGTGAACTACCTCTCTGAAAGGTCCCAATGTGTACACTTTGATGGGCTCACTTCTGAGTGGTTGAGCATTTCTAATGGTGTACCTCAGGGTTCTGTTCTAGGTCCACTTTTATTCTCCATTTATATTAATAGCTTGGGTGATAATGTGGAGGAAGCTACCTTACATTTGTATGCGGATGATACTGTGATGTATTGTGCAGGTACCTCAGTTAAGGAGGCTGTTGTTAAATTACAGACTGTTTTTAACACTGTTCAGACTCAGCTCTCAGCGCTTAAGCTTCTTTTAAATGTGGATAAAACCAAGTTAATGCTCTTTTCAAAAGCTAAAAAGTCACCAGAGCCTGTTTTAGATATTGTAACCATGCAAGGAAAAAAACTTGAAGTGGTTACCCGTTACAAATACCTTGGTATCTGGCTTGATGACTGTCTTTCTTTTAAACTGCATGTAAATAACCTGCTTAAAAAACTGAGGGTTAGGCTAGGTTTTTTTTATAGAAACAAGTCCTGTTTCTCTCTTGAGGCCAGGAAAAGGCTAGTCACTGTGACCTTTTTACCTGTGCTGGACTATGGTGATCTATTTTATATGAATGCGCCGGCCAATTACCTCACCAAGATAGATGCCGCCTATCATAGTGCACTAAGGTTTGTGACAGACTGTAAGACTTTGACTCATCATTGTACCCTGTATACAAGGGCAGGGTTGCTTTCACTTACTGTACGGCGGCTAAATCACTGGTATCTTTTTATTTATAAAGAAATGTTAGGGAAACTTCCGTCTTACATCTGTTTCCTGATCTCACAGCGTATTGTAAATGGCTATTGCCTGAGATCTAAAGCTGTGGTTGTATTACATGTGCCAACTGCTAGGACTGTATTAGGAAATACAGCTTTTAGATGCGCAGCGCCGCTAGCATGGAACAGTCTACAAAAGGAATGGAAGCTAAGCAGTTTGATTCCATTTCATGTTTTTAAAGCTAGGATAGACGCTATACAATCAGAAAATATTGGTGTCTGTAAATGCTACTAGTATACAAACTGTAGTATCATATAATGTCCTTTGTTTTCTGTCATGTTTGTATTCATGTTTGGAACTAATTGAAGCAGGTCACCATTGTAAAAGAGGTCTATGATCTCAATGGGTTTTATCTGTATAAATAAAGGAATTGAATTGAAAACCACAAGGCTTAATTCTAATTTGTGATTTAGGACGTAGTATTAACGTCATTCCATTTGAGAACTGAAATGTGAAAGGTTTGATCAAATGTGCCACCGTTTTGCTTTTAAAATGACAATACAGTTGTTGAATCTTGATTAGATTTGGTTGTTTAGTTACATATTATTATAGACATTATAGACATCTTTGATCCAACTTTAATGAAAACCAGAGCAGAGCGACTTCCCTAAACTTTTGCTGCGATCCAATTGTTAAAACAAATCAGGTCCTACGTCTTTACCACTTTTCCTTAAACTCAGTGAACAATGTCATTGGGTTAGGGAAAGACAACCGTGGTGGACAACGTAAATGATAAGCCAGTGGATGTTATTGATATGCATTGGCTGTTGGAAAACGAACATTTGTATCTGTATATGGACTACTGAAAGTGCATCTAAATACACAAATACGTTTCTTGGGGTCTTTACAAACGTGCACAGCAGTAAATAATATGATTTCATTACGATGCTTTGGGTTATGCTTACCCCTAACTGTCATTTGCGTAAGGTTCATGGTTCATCTTTTGGTTTAACCTTGTCTAAAGGTTCTAAGCATCAACAACAAAGCACTTTGGCAAAATCTGGTATAAGTTGGAAAATGCACCATATTTTGACATGATAGTGTAGTGGATGGTGCTTCACTTTCAATGTAGCTGCCGCAAAGACTTGTGGGACAGCATTATTTCCTTTCAGAAAGGACGGTCCAGTGTATCCTAAACTAAAGGACATTATAAGCATTGTAGCTCCTTTCCTATCTAGAGAATTCAGCTCTTATCGTGGAGGTACTTCTGGGTCTTTTTTACTGTGTTAGGAACCTACAACTTCGCATGTCTAATCAAGAGACCAGACTCACAATGGTGTTCAGTTTTTGTCAGATGGTGTATGTGGGTAAATACAGCAGAAAAGAGTTCAGAGCATCACTGTAATGCATAGCCGACATGCCTGTGCTTTTCTCTCAGCTGTCTGGTGATATTCAGGTTCCCAGATGTAATCCAGCTGCTGCTTCATATTGACTCATACATCATATAACTGGTTTAATTTTTTTGTATAATAGGATTAGTTGCCTATAGGTGAAACCTGAGACTAATTTGACACATCACTGCTCTAATCTATTTACAACAACTAACAATTCCAATATTTTCCTCATGAAATGATGACGTTAGAGCAGATAATGTTGCATATCCATAATATGAAGGTTTCTAATATATATATGTAACAGTTGTAAATATGCAGTGGGGTTTATTTGTAAATCATTTAGTATAATCTAAGTAATTCTGTGTTGTTCATTTTATTGAATGTTCAATACCTGACAAGGTCAGAGATCAGTGGGCGGAACCTCTGAAGTGTGTAAATGTTCCACATGAAGAGTCACTGTGAGGGAAAGCTAATATTAGACTGATTGTTATATCTTTTGTCAGATTGTCAGTAATAAAACGGAGATCGTCAAAACTGTATGCTGGCTCGGGTCATCCATGAACAACGCAAAACACAACGCAGAGACCGCTTAACGACACCGGTTACATATAAAATAGCTTGTAAAACAAAAGTCGAAAACCTGCAGTTAATAGATCTAGTATAGTGTAGATCTCATAGCAAATATCGTATGTAAACGTAAATGCACTAATCATTATAATTAACAGTTGACACAGAAGGGAAAGTTAAAGGGCAGTTAACATTGCTATTACATTTGTAACGTCAATAGAAAAAGGAGAAATACATTCAGATGTTGCTCTGTATATGCTGGATGTGTTAATTCGAGATGGTTTGCTAAGGGCATACAAAATCAAATAGTACGCTATAAAGCTTTACCAATTTAGGATATAGTCACATTGACACATATCCTTCCAAATAGGCAGGCTTGCTTCCCTAACCCTTACCTTTAACCTTAGCCCTGCATCCGTAGTCCAGAGTCTTATTATGATCATTTGAAGCTATGCCATCACTATGTGCTTCCCATTGCGAAGTTAAGCCCTCCATAACATAGATTGGGGACATTAAGCCATTTGGAATACTTGCAGATGGACATATTTTCAGTGGCAAAATTCAAGGTAATGTTAGGTCTTAAAAGCTAATGATGATACTTGTTACTTGTTGGTGTTTTCTTACACATGGGGGCATTCAAATGATCATGTGGCATCTGCTTACCAACTGCCCTTTCACTAAGTGTTGGTTTATTCATGTTGGTCAGTTCATGCAGTTATTATAATGGAACAAATGTCACTGTATCTACATTTAACAAAATCACCAGCAATGCAATAAACGAGTGGAAGAATAACGAGACAAACTCAAGTGTGGTGTCTGATTTTCTGCTTCATCAGTGATTTATTGTATGTCTGAATAATCGGTTGTTCTTTGCTCCCCTCTTCTTCCCTCTCACTGTTCCCCCTCTTCCTCCTGTTTCTTGCATCCTTGGTCCTAGTTGGTGCTGCCAGAGTACTCCATCCATGGACTCTTCTGCATCATGTTCCTGTGTGCCCAGGAGTGGCTGACCGTGGGCCTCAACATCCCCCTGCTCTTCTACAACACATGGAGGTGACTATACAATTCATACGTTTGTGTGTGGATGGATGGATGGATGGTGTGCTCTCAGGTTAGGGTTAGGCTTGTCCTTGTTGAATGTATAATATATTCGAATTTACTGAAAATTAAATTAAACTTGTATTTGTGTTGGCAAGTAGGCTTGCTTTTTGTCTGTTGGCAAGTGGCTACGATTCTAGTATTCCCAGGAATGATGTGCCTGTTAGACACAAACATACATTCCTATAGCGAGAACTGTAAAAACATTGGAATAGAAAGTCATCTGGGTTTTTGCTTAACATTTCCAATAACAACTTTTTGTCTTGGACAATAATGGAGTTATGCAGTTCAGATTAGAATTACAGACAATTATAGGACCAATTAATGTTGGTTTCGGTTTTTAATGGGATTTATTTACAACAAATACAGAATAATTGAGGAACACATTACTTCTTTGGGGCGGTTTTTCTGCTGATTTTAAATCACATCCACCCCACATTTATACTATGAAGATATCTGGCGTTATTTTCTGAGGATGTACAGACAAATGTTTATGAGAAAATGCAGGGTTACAAGCAAGTAAATCAGTGTTCTAACACAAGACTCTGAAAGGCAATTTCTCAAAAACTGGGTCTCCACTCACTGATCTTAAGATTTATTTAGTTGCTTCTTCTTTGTTCCTTTTCTTTCCTCAAGTGTGTGTTAGATGTAGTCTGCTGGCAGCGTGATTGGGTTAAGCTCATGCGCTCAGCTGGTTGAAGTTACAGACTGAGTGGAGAGGAGAGCCAGAGAGAGAAAAACATCTTGCTGTCATTAATTGGAGGCTGTGCCAGATGCCCAGCGGCTACAGAGGCAGCTTCCTGCACAGCTGAGAGATGAGAGGAGAAGGGAGACATAGATTGAGTAGGGTGCAAAATGACGGTGGGAAGTGGCAGGAGAAAGGACGGTGGGAGTCGAGTGAATGATAGGGTAGAGATCTGATATTGACAAGGTGATTCAGAGGAGAGGGAGGGAAGCAAACACTGATTAGTGATCACACCAACTTATATGGATGTGTTTGTTTGTGTATGTAAGTGTAGCTTCTCACTTGTGAGTCCATATGCACATGTGACTCGCAGGAGGGCTACTTTAAAAGGCCAGATTGACAAAGTTGCTTTCAGCAAAGCTTGATCACTTTGAAACTTGATTTAAAAGATGTAGTGCCTATAATAACGCGCCTAAATGCCAAATTGTGCGACCACATTTGTATCCGTGAAGCATAAACTTGGAATCATGGAAAAAAAGACCCTACTTATAACTAATACAATAAAGTAATACAATAAAGCAACCAGTTATCTGTTCATCCACGAGTTCATTGAAATCAGGGACAGCTTATGGCTTATTCTGAACGTTTTTTGGGGGGCCATAAAGGGCAAGTTGTTGCCCAAAGTGTAACTCAATGAATCCATATCTACACTTTGTTAATAATCCCCCAAAGTCCCACAGTCTCAGACATTCACAACCCCTAGTCCTAAATAATGTGTCACAGATTCATTTCAATTAACCTCAAATGGCATTTTAACTCAAATAAATGAATATCTCTGAACCCTGCATATAAAAACAAAACTATTATAGGGTTCAACGAGATCGGATGCTGTAACCAGTGCATTCAAATGAGTTTAAATGCATTAATACCAAACTCCTCAAATATAAACATGTCCTTATATGCTTACATACATTGCATTATCATTACATCATTTTCCTGTTATGGTTTTATGGAATTGTTTTTCAGACGTCTGTTTCAGCACGTCTCCTAGTTGTCCAGAAGTTCAACAATGGTTATACAATTGTACATGAGCTATTCTTAGCTGTTTTTTCATTCCAAATGTCTCTCTCTTAATTCTCAGAAATAAAACCATGGTTCCAAATGACACAGTAGTGTTCATGCTATTTTTACTGAAGTGAAGTGCATGCAGACTTAACTCTGTGCTTAACTCTAAATAGCTGCATATAAGATGTATATATAACTTTATCAACTTTTACAAAGTAAGGCGATATAACCTTAGACATAAATCCAGAACACAGTAGAATATTTAGACTGAGGATGCCCCTACTTCAGGAACCAATTTACATATGAACACTGAAATAAAAATATCTATAGATGTATTCACTCTCTAATTGGGGTTGGCAAAATCCACAGTCTCTGGTATTCCAAAGTCTTTGTGTTTAAAAGTAATAGATAGTCTTTCTCAACGGAATTGGCTCTTACTGAAAAAGACTGAATGTTTTCCCCATCCCTTCCATTGGAAACACATTAAAACCTATCCTTACAAACTAGTTGTAAACAAACCAAAATGTCTCCAATGACACTTCAATCATCATCATCAACATCGTGAAAATCGGTAGACCTTGCACAACTCTATCAGAATTTTTGGTTTACCATTGCAATTCCAAGATTTTCGATTCTGAAACCAGTGTCCCTCTCCAGGAAATCCGTAAAGATTAGCTTTTCACCCCTCAAAGGATTCCATGGGATAAGATCTCAAATGAGTTCACAATTGGCACGGAAACAGTGGCCAGCAAACCTAGAACCCCATTGGATTAGGAGTTTACCTTATCTGTTGTATTGTTGGATGATTCTTCCAGGATATATTTGGTATCCTGCGAAGGAGTTTGGTATCGCACCCACGAGGCGATGATGGATTCGAGCATTAATTGTCCTCAGAGCCAAACATGACGATGGTTGTCGTGAACAGATACATTTTCATTTCATTCAGCCGGTCAGATAGCAATAATTTGTCCTTTGGGCTTTTCCGACCTTCAGACATTACCTTTGTATAACGAGCAACATGCAGGCAGACAGACAATGTGCCAGACATCAGTCGAGAAGCCTGACTGGTCCACTCATGAGGGACATTTCCATGTTTATGAATACAAATACTTTTTGCACAACTAAAAGCTTTCCATATGTGTGTGTGGGTGTGTAACGGGAAATTCCAAGAGAGGCTGGCCATGCTGTGCTTTCGTTTCTTCAAATGCTTTGGTTGCCAGCTGAATCCTTTTCAAAGTCTGTGTGTGTGTTCTTGTGTGAGTGCGTGCGTGTGTATGTGTGTTTCTATGAGGGGCCGTACAGGCCGTAATTCATACTGGTCCTCTCACGCACATACATTCTCCTTTTACATACATACATTTTCACTCTCACACACGTATATATATTTACACTCACACATATATACATTTTGCTCTCATATTCATATATTTTAACGCTCATATTTATACATTTTGCTCTCATGCACATTCATTCAATGTTTACATTTAATATTATAAATAATATATGCATGTCTGAAGACAATATATGTATGCAAGAGAAGAATGCTCTTCTGTTTACTTTTTTAATAAAGAAAAACAAATGGTCCGTAGATACACGGATTCATCTCCCTCCATCGTGTTGATTTGAATCCGAAGTTCTGAACATGAGCCCGCCCTGCTCGACCTTCTGAGCCAATCACAGCGCGATAATGACCTGCCTTCCGTTTCAACCATACTCCTTCCGTTTCCACTATACTTTCTCTCACACATACATGCATTCTTCTCTTGCATACATATATTGTCTTCATACATGCATATATTATTTATAATATTAAATGTAAATATTGAATGAATGTGCATGAGAGCAAAATGTATAAATATGAGCGTTAAAATATATGAATATGAGAGCAAAATATATATATGTGTGAGTGAAACATTTATAAATATGTGAGTGACAATATATGTATGTAAAAGGAGAATGTATGTGCGTGAGAGGACCAGTATGAATTACGGCCTGTATGGCCCCTCATATGTTTCTTTGTTTTTCATACTCTGGAAGGTTGTCCACATAAATGTATCTATATGTTTAGGCAAGAAGTGGTCTCAATATGAACATGTTTTATTGTCTTTTCTGTTACCTTTATCCAGAGGAGTTGTAGTTATTTTTATTTTTAACAATTGATGAGCTAAATGTATATTGTAGTATGTAATATGTTACCTCGTTATCAGTCATTTATTCATGTATCTTCTGTACATGTGGATTACGCTGAATACATCAAGACTCATTTTCAAATGCATTGTTGAAAATGTCATACATGCATGAGTCATCAATGGACAAATGGAAATGTGAACTACATTGTAATTCATGAATGACAATCAAATGTATGATCATTTCACAGCTTTGAACAACCAATATATGTGAATTAACATACAATATGGACAGGCATAAACCATCTGTTAGCAAGTTATATGACCCAACAGACCACATGCATAATGATGGTAGCTTCCTGGTTGAACAGCAATACCTATCATACATATCATACATATCATATCAAATTTGAATTTTCCGTGATGGGCTCTGTGGACTTACCAGAAAAGAAGCAAACTATTTTAATGCAACTGGTCTATTACATTAACATACAATATTTGTTTGTTACAGCATCCTGTTCATTTGTGTCAGTTCTGGGGAGAATGAAAGGCTAATCCCCCCAATAAAAAGTAACGAGGCAATCATTTATAAGTACATAAACAGTTCTCTCTAAACCAACAGGCAGCAGTTGTAACCTTCTTTCTATGTCTACGTATATTATCATAATGACTTTCTTTGAGTGCTCATTTTTTGTATGACATATTTCCTGTTTAATTATAAGAGCCCCGCAGAATAAGTCTCACTGGGATGTAAAAGCTACAGGAAAAACCTCTCAATTCCCAAACCCGCTCTGCTGTTAATCACCGCCAGGTTTTCTCTTTTGGTTATTTAGCACATTTTCAACTTTCACTGCTTTATGAGAGAGCTGTTTGTGTTTACAAATATTGATTATGCTAAACACATAGCATTAACACATGTTTATTCTATTATAGGGTGGATTTCCCTTCAGGTTTTAAATTAGTCATCAGGTGATAGATGTTAAATAGTGAGAATATCTTAAATTGAAGATTCAATATAAACTAATTTGTTATGCACCACAGTTGTAATTTAATAACTGAGTTTACTGACTAAGAATAAA